AAAAATGACCATTTTCATTCTTTGAATCTTTCCACTTCCCTTGGACCTATAATTTGTTAGCTAAAAAGATAAAGACCCCTTGCTGAACCCAACACGGACAGTTAATGTTGAATGGGTTTCTATAGAAAATGGGTTAACCATTGGAGGAAGTTTCAAATGGAAAGGGCCAGAGTGGAAAAAGAGAAAGGGATTATAAATTCTAATTTGACATGGGCTAAAGTGGGTCCTACACTTATTGCTTAAAAAATAAAATAATATGCTAAATTTGTTACCATTAAAAGACAACAATAAAATGGACATCGTTAGTGACAAGTTACTAACGACATCTTATGAAGGACGACAATTAACCTATTTTGAGTAGTACAAGGACGACAATCAACTCAATAGGTGAAGTAGAAGGATGACAATGAACATTTTCTTAGTACAAGGATGATAATGAACAAAATATCAAAGTAGAGGGACGATAGTTGGCTTTAACCCTCTAGAAAAGTACTAATTATATATGACGTTCTTTAAGATTTTTTGTATGTACTGAATTAGGTAAATTTATATTGTCTATGCTAAATTTCTTCATTAGTCTTTTTTTTTTTTTCTAATTTCTATTCTACCCGACTGATTAGTGAAACTCAGTGATGGTGTTTTATTTTTTATTTTTATAAAAAACTTTGTTTTCTTATATTGATGTTTTTTATGTAAGGAGTTTGCTTCCACTTTAGTTATTTGTTACTCTCACGTTTAAAGATTCATTCATTCTACTTCTTTTTCTTTATAATAAAGTTAATATTAGTTTAGTTTTCATCTAATAAGTGATTATTCTTTTTATGAAAATAATCTCAAATTCTTCAAATATTTTTGTAGAAATATTATTTTATTTATTAACTTATACGATTCTAAATGACATGGATGTTAAAAAATGAGTCCCAAATATATGTATGTAATGTTTTAATCTTTTTTATTTTGCACATTATTCTCATATTTTCTAAGAAATTATATGATCATGCCATGAGATATTCATTTTTATTTTTTCCATCCATGGGTTTTTAATCTTATTTTCCATCATTTTCTTATGTTGGGTTCTTTCATTTAGTCTCATGCATCTTACAATTGTCAAACAAAATACCTATTATTTTATTAGACAATGCATGGCACTGTGCAAGTAATATCTTTGTTAATTTAATTTTTTAATTCAGTTTTTTAAATATTAAGACATCTATAATTTATTTATTATACCATAAACCATTTTCTTTTCTCAAATTCATTCCTATTTAAATCTAAAATTTTTCAAAATTTTCCACTAAGACATCTTTAAATTAAATATTTCATTTAATTATTTAATTAATTCAGC